AAGATTTGATTAGTATGTAAGTATGCATTATTTACAGTACATACGTATGCATTTGTTTACTATGCCTTATGCAAATGCATTTTATTAAATTCGATATTTTCAAAATTGTGGTTATAATTTTAGTTGAAATTAATAGCTTTTGTTTTCAACACAACGGTTTTATAAGCTAATAAAATGAGCATTGTAAAATTGGTTTAGAAAATCTACGAAGTTTGCGAAAAGTCTAGAATATTCTCGACGCTTTCAAACCCTTTATCATTATATACAACTGTCTGTCTTATATATTACGTACATAGCTGTATACCTGAATATTATTATAGGTTTCTGGATTATGCATGGGCGGCTCGTATTAGGAAATTAATGGAACAAAGATGATGCATTTCTTATTTTCTTATATTAGTAGGTGTTAACGAAATATTGCAATTATAAGTTTCAAATTTACAAATCAATTATTGACTGTCATAGAAATAATTGAAAATACAGTTTTTATTCTTATTTTATTTTAATATACGGTATACTAAACACTTCGTATTCATTTATCGCAAAATAGGTAATAATTAAAATATCTGTATACGGAAACTATTATCGTTTGGAACGGAGGGTGTAGCTTACCCCTCTATTTTAAACATACCAAAAAGTCTGAAAAACAAGATATTGAAAATTATTTATATGTAAAAATATCTATAATAAGGGTAACAAGTATCCTTTTAACGTTGTGCCACTTTTTTACGCTTAAATCTATTAAATTTTACTGCTTACACTACTCGTAAAAATAAATTTGATATATCTATACAAGTAGGTATTACTTGAAATAAAAGTATTTTAAAAGAAAAAATACTCTAATATAAGGAGTAAAAATAGCTAAATTGTAACAAGTTGTATTATGAATTAAAGACTAAGTAATAAAAATTTGGTCACTATAAAAGTTAGAAATTGGGTTGGTGTAAAATTTAATTGATATGTATAAAATTTTTTTTATTTTTGTTATTATAGAATTAATTATTCTGGTAATAAAGACTTATCGTTAATTCTGGTAAATATAAAATAAGAATGAGTCATTGAGTTTCGGTTGTAAATTGTTGTAGATGTCATAAATTACATATATTACACTTACTAATTTTAAATTTATAATTTACGATTAGTTAAAAATATAGTATATCAGATCTATTAAACCCATAACTTAGATAATCTCTGTGGGGTTACTAAATATTATAGGTAATTACTTTGCAATTATTGTGTACTTTTGTGAAATTTTTAGTTTAAACAAATTAAAAATTTTTTGCAACGAAAAAATATAATATAGGTGTACTGTAATAATGCTTTTAGCCATAAAGTAAAAATTTAAATTTGGTGAGTGCATCGCAAATTCCACTTTTTTTATGTCCAATTCTCGCAGTCTTTTTTGTATATTACTATGATCTCCCACTTAGAAACCGTTATGATGCGGCACTGGAGTTTTGTGTTGTATTGATTAGTGTCAAGTAGACACTTACAAATTAAAAACTAGATATAACAGGTGTATTGACATATACAAAACAAAATACATACTAATAACTAATTGAAGTGGTTGCCTAATTTTTATCATCAAGAGGTTGGGTTCAGTGTTGAAGTGCGTTCTCATTATATTATGTTTAATATTTTTATTTTGTATTTGTATTATTTTTAATTACATTCGTTGCTATATGCGATCTTTTAGAAAATCACGTTAAGTAATATTTAATTATATAAATTTGTGATAACCTCTGCCATTCCCACTTTGATAGCTGCTAAATAATAAGTTGTGGCATGATTGTGGCATTCAAATTCAGTGTATTTTTAAGTTAATAAGCAGTGAGGCAAAGATGGGTGCTAATAGATATTCTAGCATTTTGAAATTTTATCGTACACCTGCATTCACAGTTGCAAAAACAGAAGAAGTTTTGGATAAACTTATCTCAAAGAATGCATTAATCCATTCTGTACAAACAGAGTTGTGCTATTATGTAGAAATTTCTGGATCAAAATTTACAGAAATTGAAAAAGGTAAATTAATTTGGGTTCTTCAGGACATATTCAATCCAGAAAACTTGACTGAAGAATCTCAGTTAAAGGTAAAAGAAGACGATTTATTCATTGAAGTTGGTCCACGGTTTAATTTTTCAACTGCAAGTTCTACAAATGCTGTATCAATATGCCAATCAATTGGTCTAAGTGCAGTGAAACGTTTGGAAGTATCTCGTAGATATGTAATTGCATTTTCTGGAAAAATTACCCTTACAAAACAAGATGAAGAGGATTTGGTATCAGTTCTTCATGATCGTATGACTGAATTCAGATATACAAAAGAAAATATTCCCAGAAATAGCTTTAATGAAAGTTTAATTAAAAAGGAAGGTATTAAAGAAATAGATGTACTATCAAAAGGCAAAGAAGCTCTCAAGGAAATTGATAGAGAACTTGGATTGGCATTTGATAAAAGTGATCTTGAATATTATACAACATTATTTAAAAATATATTGAAAAGGAATCCTACTAATGTAGAATGTTTTGATTTGGCTCAGTCTAATAGTGAGCACAGCAGGCATTGGTTTTTCAAAGGAAAAATTGTAATTAATGGGAAAGAATATGAAAAGTCTTTAATTGATATGATTATCAATACTCAACAGTACAGTAATCCTAATAATGTTATTAAATTTAGTGATAATAGCAGGTAGATAAGTTTGTTTTATTACTATATTATTTTTTTTTTGTATTATATATATATTGAAATCAGTACAAAAATTACATAATTTTTTGCAGTGCCATAAAAGGATATATACACCGTAGTTTGAGGCCATTAACTCCAGGTGCTGTGAGTGAATTGAAGCAAATAAGTGCAGAGTCTCATTTAATATTCACCGCTGAAACCCACAACTTTCCTACAGGAGTGGCGCCTTTTAGTGGAGCAACTACTGGCACGGGAGGACGTATTAGGGATGTTCAGGCAGTAGGAAGGGGTGGATATTGCATTGCAGGAACTGCTGGCTACTCAGTAGGGAATCTTCATTTACCTGGTGAGTGAGTGATAAGAAAGAAACTAGAGCAAAAAATTGTTTTTACACAATTGAAAGTAGATACAAATGTATATTTCCTAATCATAAGAGATCAACTAGTCAGAAAACATGTTTACTAATGCAAATTTTTTTTATCGTTTGTGTTGCTTCACTTTTACCTAATCAAATGACTCCTTTGTTATTTATTTCAGTGACGCTTGTCTTCTAGAGCTAGTTTATCAACCAGTTAATTTCATGAAAACAAAAAAAAAGTTACAAGTTAGAAGCTACTTTATCTTACTGACACAATATCTGGTTTAGTTACATTATTTTTGAAATTATTGATGGTGCAAACATGTGTATATGTGTATGTGTATTTTGAAATATGAATTAAATTGCCTTGGTACATATTAAAATTTTGATAATGTTATTTCGACATTCTCAAGAGTAAACAGGTACTAAACTAAAAATACTTAATTCAGTGTGACTTTTTAATAAATTTTTAGTTGTGACTTTTCCAGCAACTGTGACTTTTTTCTTTGAGGTTGGATATGTAACAATTCTAAATTATTTAATTAATTTTGATTTGATTAATTAATTAATTTTGATCGATGCAATAATGTTCGGCAATTTCTGTGAAATACATAGATCTCTTATTTCAACATTCTTAATAAAGTATGTTGAAAGAATTTCATTACATTAGTTTATTTACGTTAATGATTATTAAAAGTAGGTACCATTAGGTATCTTCATTTTCAATTGAAAACTGTTTATGGACAATTGCTCCATAAATGCCAATTTGAACTCTAAAATATTTTTTGTATACGTGACAAGTTTTTATCACGTTTGTGGCAGTGAATAATACGACAACGTGATACATGAAATTTGATTTTTTTAGAGTATCATCTGCCTTGGGAAGAACCGACTTGGCAATATCCTTCAAATTTCGCTTCGCCATTAGAAATTTTAATAGAGGCTAGCAATGGGGCTTCAGACTATGGTAACAAGTTTGGCGAGCCTGTGATTTGTGGATTTGCTCGAACATTTGGTGCCATCGATTTTTTTGGTGATCGAAGGGAGTATGTTAAACCTATTATGTTTAGTGGTGGTGTGGGAAGTATGGAGGCAAGCATGGTTGACAAATTACCACCGAAAAAGGGACAACAAATAGTTAAAATTGGAGGTCCCGTGTACAGGATCGGAGTAGGAGGCGGTTCAGCTAGTTCTATTGAAATTCAGGGCGATAATAAAGCGGACTTAGATTTCAATGCTGTCCAAAGAGGCAAGAATCTTTTTTTTTTTAATTGGAAACATTAGACACGATAGGGGTACCCGGTTTCGATGCAGTACGTTGCAGATCCACACTTATTTTTAGGATAGACATTACCTTTACCAATAACAATAGAAAATACCATTTATAGGATCTCTCATGTAACAAAAAAAAAATAAAGTAATACATGGGCAAAAAGTATAGTAGATTATGTATCATTGGAAGAAAAAGTATTGTCTATTAATAAATTAATANTAATTAATGAAAATAGCTGTTCCTACTTTTTCATAATAGAATAATTAAGCATTTAAACAAAATTTTGTGGCGACTCATCTTATATGTGAATACCTGCATTTATTTACTTAAGTATCATTTAATTTACAAATTTATTTTTCATAGATTTCATATGCGTACTATTTTTGTTGAATTTATATTCAACTAATACTTTTTATGTCTACAGCATTTTACTAATTAACTGATTAAGTCTCGATTTGTGTAATAACGATGCTTATTGAATAAAATTTAAATAAATTTAAAGCATAATTATTGATTTGTATTAGGTGATGCTGAAATGGAAAATAAATTAAATCGTGTAGTCCGTGCTTGCCTGGAGCTGGGCAAGAGGAATCCAATTTTGAGTATCCATGATCAAGGAGCAGGTGGAAATGGAAATGTCCTGAAGGAACTAGTAGAACCTGCTGGAGGAATTATTTATGCTTGTAAATTTGAATTGGGTGATCCTACAATAAATGCATTGGAACTTTGGGGAGCAGAATATCAAGAAAATAATGCTATCCTCATAAATAAGGAAGATGAACAGTTATTACGGCGTATCTGCGAAAGGGAGAGATGCCCCGTTAACTTTGTGGGAGAAGTTACTGGTGATGGTAAAGTGGTTTTGTCATTGGATTTGGAAAAAACTAAGATACCTTTTAATCTCGAACTGGAACATGTTTTGGGTAAATTATAGTTGTAATACTTACTAATAAGTAAATTGTAATTTATTTTTAATTAAAGGTAAGATGCCCAGAAAAGTGTTTAGGCTCGAGCGAAGGCAAAATATACCTCATCAGTTAGATCTACCTGAACCTCTTTCGATTTATAAGGCTCTCGAACATGTTTTAAGGCTTCCTGCAGTTGCTAGTAAAAGATATTTAACAAACAAGGTCGACAGGTGCGTAACCGGTCTTGTGGCGCAACAGCAGTGTGTTGGCCCTCTACATACTCCTCTGGCAGATGTCGCGGTTACTGCTATTTCCCATTTTGGTTATGTAAGTGTTATTACACAAATAGTATTGTTTTCATACTAGTAGGTTTGTTCGTGCAAATAAATTGTGTTAATGTGCTAGTTTCTACTAAGACATACGAAGTACAGTCGAAAATATTTATACTATTTACGTGGTATATAGTCGTATTGGTAGCGTAATGAAGAAATTCAATAACATAGAATATTAATAAAAAATTAATTCATTGCCTTATGATAACAATTCAAAGTATTCTTGCCCAATATAATTATACCAAATTTGTCTGGATTAACTGGGTGGGTTTTGGTGAAAAGGGGTACATACATATGAGTTCTTATTGTAATAATGTTTATGATGATGGTTTCATATTCTAACAGGAAGGTGTGGCGACTGCAATTGGAGAACAACCAATCAAAGGTCTAATAAGTAATGGCGCAGGAGCTCGAATGACCGTTGCAGAGTCTCTTAGTAATCTTGTTTTCGCAGCAATAACAGATCTTCGTGATGTCAAATGTAGTGGCAATTGGATGTGGCCAGCAAAACTTCCTGGCGAAGGCGCGGCCCTGTACGACACTTGCGAAGCGATGTGCAAGATTATGTCTGAACTGGGTATAGCCATCGATGGAGGTAAAGATTCCCTGAGTATGGCTGCTCGAGTTGGTAATCAAACTGTTAAAGCACCTGGCACGCTTGTGGTGTCTACGTATGCTCCTTGCCCCGACGTACGCAAAGTTGTTACCCCCGATTTAAAAGCCCCCGCTATGGGTAAAACGGGAACATTGTTGTTTGTCGATTTGTCGAATAATAAGTGTCGTCTGGGCGGATCGGCACTTGCGCAGTGCTACAAGCAGTTAGGGCACGAGAGTCCTGACGTGGATAATGTAGAAGATTTGAAGAACGCCTTCAACGCTACGCAGGAACTGATCAAAGACGGCGCTATTAGTGCGGGGCACGATGTTAGCGACGGGGGGCTTATTACATGTATTTTAGAGATGTGCTTTGGGGGAATGAGTGGGGTAGAAGTAAATATAAACTACAAGACGGGAAAAGTTATACCTATACTTTTCACTGAAGAGGTTGGTTGGGTGCTGGAAGTCTTAGAAAAAGACGTCGCGCACTGTATGATGGTCTTCCAGAAACATAACGTCCCAGTGTATAAAATAGGCCGAAGTATTGGATTTGGGATGAAAGCTAAGCTTTCCATCGCGGTAAATAATGCATGCATAGAAAGTAGTGTGTTTCCTCTAATGAAAATGTGGGAAGAAACCAGCTACCATCTGGAATTACAGCAAACTATTAAGGAGTGTGCAGACTCTGAATTCGATTCGTTAGGTTTAAGGACGCCTCCCAAGTATAAGTTAACATTCGACCCAGACGAGGAGTTTGCGGAAAGGACAAAGGGTGAGCAAGATATTTGTGTTGCCGTAATAAGAGAAGAAGGGGTGAATGGAGACAGAGAAATGGCTGCAGCACTCGTGAGAGTTGGATTTAAAGTTTGGGATATCACGATGCAAGACCTGTTGAATGGAAAAGCAAATTTGAACCAATTTAGGGGTGTCATATTTCCGGGAGGATTTAGTTATGCAGGTAACTTCGAATATACTGCCTTCAAATGTTTATACAATTTTAATCATGTACTTTTTCTTTTTGTTTTAGATGTTTTGGGTTCTGCAAAGGGTTGGGCTGCAAATATTCTCTTCAACGAAAAAGTGCAAGAACAGTTTGAAAAGTTTGTTGCCCGTCCAGACACGTTCAGTTTGGGTGTTTGTAATGGTTGTCAACTTATGGCATTAATCGGTTGGATTGGTCAGCCTGTGTCTGAGCAGAGCCCCCCGGAAATCCTCCTGGAGCATAATAAGTCCGAACGTTTTGAATGTCGCTGGAGTACCGTAAAAATAGAAAAATCCAAATCTATAATGCTTCAGGGTATGGAGGGATCTGTGTTGGGTGTTTGGGTGGCCCATGGCGAAGGGCGATTTACATTCCGAAACCACGATGTTTATAATAAGCTTGTAAATAATCATTGTGTTAGTTTAAGGTAAGTGACAAATAAAAAAAATAACTTTCTCATAAATAATTTTTCATAATTACATTTTTAGGTACACAGACGATGATGGCATTCCTACTGAAATATATCCTTTCAATCCTAATGGCAGCGTTGATGGTCTTGCCGGGGTGTGCTCAAAAGATGGCCGTCACTTGGCCATGATGCCCCACCCGGAAAGGTGCGTCCAACCCTTCCAATGTCCTTATGTTCCATATCAATGGAGTAACTATCAAAAAAGTCCATGGGAGAGAATGTTTGAGAATGCCTACAACTGGTGCAGGTCAGAAAAGTTTCATGTTGTTTATTATTAATTTTTTTTCTTTATTTGATGAGGAGATAATTGCCTTTTTTGAGTTTAATTTGATTTGAGGTATTAAAGTATAATCCCATTTTAAATTTTTAAAATATATATAAGAAAACAAATTCGGTGTGGAATTTAAACAAAAAGTCTCGATTAATTTTAGGTTTGTTGATAATACAACTTGTTTAGTTGTATTTATTCAAATGTTTATTTTTTATGGAAGTTTACGATAAGGATTCTTAAGTTTTTTCTGCACCTTTTTGCTGAGTGACATTTTTAATTATTTTTTAAATCACTA